ATGAAGAAAATATACATTAATAGAAACTGTTGAACTTAATGAAGATCATGAGCTGAAATGTCCATTTCGATCATATTTAAGGGTACTCTTCCGATGCATGCAAACAGTTGGTGGAATGTGAGTTGCATTAGGACACTATTACTATGTAACAATCATCAGTGATAATTATGTTGGCAGCAGAACGTCTCATAACCCCATAATGTGATGTCGAAGTGATGACTGCATCCTTAAAACATTGATCTCGCGAAAGTTGCAACCAGAGCCGCCTTCACGAAGGGATGGGGGAGATAGAGAGAGAGAGAGAGAGATTTTAGATAGAGAAAGAGAGAGGGTAAGGAGCTCCGGATCACCTCCCCCTTCCCTTCCAACCAACCAGTAATTCTCTCTATCAAGGGAAGGTAACATCGTAGAAATAATTTGTTATCTTCTTACCACATTTCAACAAATGTGAAAATCTCTTGAGATTGAGAATACACTAGTAGGAAAAGGAATGGTTTGGCTGAGATGGCTTGCAGGATGTTGTATTAGATTACAATCTTTATGTTCCGTTCAATGTCCTTGGCGTTATGGAATCAACGGGTCGGATTAATTTGATTAAAAAACATCTATGCATCATCCATCTCTATCCTCTATAAATCTGATTTCTCCTTAAGATGACGGTATTTTATTATTACTTTGAATTTACCTCACTAGATGAAAGCGCTTTACTTTTGCACGTATGATTCGATCAATCATAGTCGAGATCGCTTTCCTTTCATGAAGACCTGTCGGCAGAAATTTATTTTATTGGATCCCTCAATTTGTAAGGGTGATGCAGATCATAGTGGGGCATGAATAATGTCAATATAAAACACATACTCAGTGTTGGCAGCTATAGAAAAATGGTCGTAATGCTTCTCTGTGAGTGGAGATGGTGCACACATTGTTTGTGTTAATGAATTTTATGACAGGGCTAGCAACAGATTGTAAGCGCTTACAGAATTATTATCGTATCTAGTACTATATCGTTATTATAAATACCAAGCATGATTGGAAATCACAAGGCCATAACTTGTCACATATGCCTTGTTTAAAAACATTATTAAGAATTTTGATTAATCATTCCAAGTAGTTAAAAAGATAATCATCTGAAAAGCGAATTTTTATATTCTTTTACAAGATGAATTGTTGGTGAGCATGACATCTCATGGACTGTTTATCTTTTCTGACCTGGAGGAATGTTAGTCTTCATTAAATAAGAGCAATGTTTTTTGTATTTTAAAAAAATTTCTTTTAAATTCTCAGACCAACATGTACTAGATATAGCTGTGACCTTTAAAGGCAAGACTTTACTTTCTACCCCCTCAGTCTTACGACCCTTACCTGTATTGTTTAATTTGAGAAGATCAACATTTATCTCTGAATTCGTTTTATGTCTGTCGCCTTCCCTTCAAGGCGCAAAGTCACAAATCATATGGGGATAGGGCATTACAAAGAGTAGCTCCAGAATTTTGGGATTAGCTTCCTCAAAATTAAAGGAATGTATCACTTAGTTGGATCAGTTCAAATCCGAGCTCAATGTGTAATCTAATGTTTTGTTTCATTAATACAGTGATGTTATATATCAGGCATAAAGACCATGTTGGTATTATCATGATTATGCGTTTACTAAACAATGTCATATTATTATCATAATCATGCGTTTGCTAAGCAATGTCTTATTATTATAATGATTTTGCGTTTACTAAGCAATATTTTATCATCATTACTATTACTGTTATGATTATTAAGATTTTTAATATTGTTATAATATTATTTTTATTATCCAATAATTTAAAAACCAATATAACGCCTCCACGAATTTAAGCTACCGAAATCCTTACATTGTATTTTCAATGAGCAGATTTGTCATAGATCTGTGGCACTTGTTATTGGTAAGACGTTTTATGAAACCGGGCACAGGTCGTGAGAGTGTGAATGTGGCTTAAGAGTTCACATCACCTTTTACAGACGACTTTCCTTGATCGGTTCTCCTGCCATCGTGTAAGCCCGAGATGGATGTACTAACGAGTACAAACTGACTTACAGAATAGCTCGATTCAACAGTATGCTTTTAAATAGGATATTATTAGGACAAGCAACCTTAGTGAAATACTTCGAGAATTGCTTCATTAATGAGATTTTAAAAAGTTAATCCCGGTGTTACGTTCTCATTTACACATTAGGAAGGTGATGCTTCGACTAGAGCGTTAGATCGATGAGGATTGGGTCCAAGTTGCTATAGAAAAAGGGTATCACTTATCTCACTTTCTTAGATCTTAGTAACCGGTGTAAATATGTTTAGCTTGCTGAAAGCAGGAAATAATATGCTGGATGGTGAAAGAGAACATTTTTCCTCATGACATTTCAGGAAATAAAAGATACCGCATAGAAACAAGACACACGTGTTCATGATTATAAGAGAAATAATATTTTCAAAATTTATTATCTATTCAATAGAAAATCATTAGTGGATACTGGTTTACTTCATTAATAACACCATGCTCTTCACAGTTTTCCAAATACAACTGACAAATACATTAACACATTACAAATATTAATTAATTATAATTTAATTCTTTTCTTTGTTTCTTATTCTCGTTTCCTCGTTCTCACTTTTTTCTCTCTTTTTCATGTATTTATTAGGATTACTAAAACGATTTAGAGTTACTGTACTCGAGCTACAGATAAACATTTTGTTTGCAGCCGTGCAGATAGATCTTAAGGCTCTAAACTAAAATAAATGTATTTCATTTTAAACATATCAAAACTTTAATGATATTATGATCAAAGACAGATTAGGACATTGACATCAATACACACATTCAAATTTGGAAGAATTACCCCAAAATTACAAGAGATAAAAATTCATTTGATTCGAAACTATCATAATATCCCACATCCATATATATACACCTTTCTAAAATAAAATGCGATGAAATCCAAAGCATTTCATGAAATTATGTAGACCGAATGACATTTCATTGTCCTTCACAAAATATCGAAAATGTTATACTGACGCGCCGCCAATTTAGTTTGGTTTACCATTCCCAGTAAAGGCTTTAAATGCTTGCCCCTGAGAGGCAATTTTCAACGTGAACAGCTGCGTAGTTTCTAATCATTTCCACCGGTTGCTTTGCTAGAAAGCGCCACAGGTTCCATTTTTCTCGCAAACCCCACAAAAGGGCAATCCTCACCAGAAGGTTATCAACCATTTTTGACTTAATTGCCAATTTCCGATTCCGACATCTAAGTGGGATTTGAGTTCCACAGATGGAAGGGGATGCTCTTGATTCGATTCTTATCGCATCTCTGTTATCTTGCCAAGAATGAATCATAATAAAATCGGAAATACTACGGCATTGAAAGATGTGCACGCCATTGTCCTTATCTCCTTTAAGGATTATATTTTGTGTTGGCTATCAGTATAGTGTTTCTGCAATACACACAAAAAAAATCTTTTTCGAAAAATGTTCAATTATTACAAATAAATTTACTTTTTCTAAGAATTCTACCTAAATACATTAAATTTGACAAAGGGGGAAACACGCACATGTATTTTACAATTATTTCAGTTTACTGGTTATTTCAATTTCCTAAAATGGAAAATGCTATATGACAAACAAGACATTAGGACAAAGAAAGCAGTTACAGAGTTTGACCCAAAAAACATGTAGTCAGCTGATGTTTGTCTCTAAATTCATCTACGGAGAAACATATGGATGTGCATGTCACGTGGTCTAACGAAACAAACGGCATATTATGGTATATTTGAAAGTTTGACGCCTTTTGTGCACACGACTTGTATCTTAGCACGTGTACCTGCGGGAAAGTCCACAATAAAGATAACTGGATTTTATAGCGCCACCCCTTTTTTCACTATGAACTTTCATAGTCTTGTTCTTCTCACTAAACGATAAGTTTCGGTGATGCACTTCCTATCGTTATGAGAAAAAGCTTTCTTAAATAGAGAATGTTCAGGAAGAAAAGAGCAGCAGCTATAGAATCGGTCACTGATTAAGAATTTAGAATGAAATAAAAATAAAAATTTAAAAAAAATTCTGTTAATGGTAGTGGATATTTTTTCCAACCAATATTTGGTATCACAGATGTGCAATCAAAGCATTTGATTTTACACGTGGAATTGCCCACGTGTATGTATCGGCGATGTTCTAATTTTAGACTGATGCGTCCGTTTTGTATCAAACCTATGTGAAAATAGAAAAAAACAAAAGCATTCTTACATTGTGAATAACAGAGTGTTTCTCGATCTGACCTTTAATCATGAAAAACTAGTCATGAAAGATAATATCAAATCGAAGGTAAAGCAAAATGTCGGTGAGATTTCATTTAAAGCATGGAAATGATGGAGTGAGTTTGAAACACATTTAAAGCTATTTAAGGAAATAAATGATTATGGAAAGGAAGACTTAGATGATTTCAGTAGTACATTTCTAGAGTTACTATGATTTTTTTTTCTCGTAATAATTTATTTACCAAAAAACAGCGAAAGAAGATATTTGTCGGAAGGAAAACAAATTCAATTAAGATCGTTATTTAGTTGATGGATTTATGACCACCGACTGGAATCGTGTAGCAATGCCACTAATGATATTTTAAACCTATGTAAATCCTCTCTCAGTTTGGCAACACAACAAATCCATCTTACCCAAGAAATTGACATAGGAAAAAAAAAATCAATATCCATTATGTAGCCGCAATTCTACATACATTGACTCAAGTCTCGCTATTCTAAATCCATGAATTCTTCACTGAACTGAATTTCCACTCTAGCCGTCAATCAACCTAAGTAGAAACACACCATGTAAGTTGTTACCTCGATGTTGTAACACGAATCACTTACAGCTTTCTACTTCACTAGTGCCAGAGTACACTTTCCTTAGCAAAAGGCAGTGAGGAATAAAGAGAGACACAGGGAGATAGATATATAGAGAGACAGAGGAAGAGAGGGAGAGAGAGAGAGATTCAGACAGACAGACAGAGAAGGAAAAAGGTAGGAGAGGGGGGGGGGCTTCCAGATTTACAGACACTTCAATCTCACTTAAGCTGCATTTGTCAGCAGGCTTTCATTTCCAAGCTTATATATGGAAGGAGTTAAGGCTTGTGGAAGACCAAACTGTCCCCATCCCAATCCCCATTTTCTCGAGTCAAGCTATTTGATGGCGATGAGACATCACTTGCTATAGAGAAGTGCTCAGAATTAGTCAATCTAAAGGCTGTACACATTTTCGTTCCCGGTTGGGCCTAACCATTCAAACAATTAATTTTATTAGCTCATTACCAGCCATTGTTGATTAGTGAAACAAACACTGGACTGTCACACTCCAAATTTTCCACACACACGCACATCGCATTATGTACTCCAAAGAATGTGCCAGTCTAGGTTTCAGTCTTATATCAATAGCAAATAGAGTTAAATCAACTTCTTTCATATATGACATTTTCACCTGATATCTTCCAGAATTGATGAAACGTGTGTATGTTTGTATACAAACTATGCTATCCTACTGATGCCCCTAATGTCCAATTGTTGTTGCTTCAAATACTGCTCGTTTAGCTACTGTCAAATCAGAAGAAAAAATCAATTATTAATTTTATTATTATTTTCGTGAATTCATTTATTCACTGTCATTGGTACTTTTATGCTATTCAATGATCAATTTTACACTTTAAGAAACAGAACCCCTGACTATTCTAAAAACATCATTCACAAACATCGTGTTCTCTATTTAGATATCGCCGTTCACACAAAACAACATAAAAAGGTTAAAAAGTCATGAAAGGAAATTGATATGTAAGTTGAACATGAAATACAGGAAAGGAAGAAATTAGTTAATACATAAGAATCATACCTATGTTGGAACTCTTCAACTAAAGCTATCATGTAGGCCGGTTATTCATAGTTTCGTAGTATATATCTCTGGTTGCACAACAGCTTTTACCCAAAGCATTTGCTTACAGAAACAGTATCAATCAACAGGAAAATACGCATTAAACAACATAACGTGTCATAACAAATTCAAATAAAAATATGGAAAGTAATAATTTCTCTTTGGAAGCTCTACGATTGTCTTACACAGACGTCTCTACACTGTCTTCGGCTTGCGTTTCCTCTTCCCCTACGTCACCATCTTGAGGCTCATTCATATTAAGTGCAGCGTCGTATGGTGGAGGTGAGTCGATGGGTACAACTACCATACCACCTGTACCTCTTGAGTTTTGATCAAATCCATTGGCTCTATGCCATGTGACCGTCCGAACTCCACCATCACCATCCATGAGAACCAAAGACTCAATCTGACTTTCCTCCATCTGAATCTCATCCATTCCTTCACTATCTTCTTGCTGACTTCCCTGGCTACCAAAGCACAATGGCAACGATGTCGGTCGTCTATGACGTCGGTTACTCGGTGTCGACGATGCAGACATAAGTGGTTTCCTCTGGTTTGCGTTAGGCTCAGGATCATCTGTAGTAATTAATGATGTTCTGTTAGCTGTCTCGCTTGCAGCACCTGCCGTATTGGAGGCGTTCGTAAAAGGCTTGACGCGGTTAAACATATTGCTAATTCCTATGGTATGACTGGATGAACTACGGGATGGAAGTATTCGTAGACTCGTCGCTGGTGTGTGACCATTAGAAAGTGATCTATTGTTTGGGGTTAAAGGTGATCGTAGAGTCCAATCACTTGTGGATGATTGTGCGGTTCGATCGTTTGATAAGCGTGACACGTAACATAAACCTATTGCTGTTGTCGCAGATCGTTGTAATGTCCTTGAACGCAATGATCCATGTATGTAATTATGTCTTGTGTTGGTGTCATGACTGCCGTGCTCTTGTTTTACCCGCTGTGCTGCGGAAGGCGGACCAGGCCCAGTTGGGGTAAGGCCAGACCGTAGAAGGTTTCCATTTGCTAAGTCCATGAGGAGTGCTTCAGAGTAGCTAGGAACAACATGTCGATTATCACGTATTAGTAACTCAAGACTTCTATTGCTACCCACGACATTAAATCTATTCCCATTTCCCCCTTCGCCACCTGTCCATGACTCGACGGTAATCATCCCACTACTGTAGTTCGTTCCGAAAAGCTTCTCGATTTGGTAGTCAACTATTGCAGTTTGCATTGATATCAGGATTCTAAAAGGCCATGAGAGCAATGAAAGAGAAGTCACCCAGAACATTGACATGGATACATACCATGGAAGGTTTTCAGAACACGCATATGTCACCATTTCATCCGTGAACTCAACTTCAGTGAGACCAAGCCCTTCTCGCGTTTCTAAATTCTCATCTCTTCCCTCATTCTCCGTGAAGAAACGTGATCGCTGTGATAGATAGTCATTCTCTGAATCCTCATTTAGAAACATGAAGTTCTTGGTAAACGTGATCCTAGTCAAAGGGTGAAGCTCTAATCCATTCAACTGTCTTGAAACATCCTTCACGCCACAGTCGCCAAAATCAAACGCGCCAGCTGCTGAGTGTGTGTTGATCCTTTCGAAATACTCTTGCGTCGTTGTGTACGCATCCCCATGTCTATACCGCGTAACCTGCCGCGTATGTCTATTGTAATGGTACGAGATGGCGCGCCACCACACCACAGGGTAGGCATTTCGTATCCTACGTACACGGCTGTACACGGTACTCACGTCTTCCTTGTATTGGATCTCAATGCGGACGTCACTGTACCAACATTCCACCAGGTAGACCAGATAGAGAAGAACCAGAAAAGCCACGGGGATGAAGGTGTAACCATCTTGGCACGGGCTGTCAGTGATTGTGATCGGCTCCTGTTGATAGTTGAGAGCTATCACCTCTACTATACTCGTCTGACACCAGAATACTACAGCCAGACTGCCGTACATAAGGAGAGTCAGGATCAAACACTTCCAGTGTGTTTCTTCCCTCAGACTGGTACATGCTGTACGACGTATTGGTGTTTGCTGAAAGAGAGGTAGAGGAAGATCAAAAGGTCATTAGGCAAATATTGACATGCATTGAGCTCACATTTTGTTGCATAGTAATCGTTACATTATGACTCAAGATAATTTGAAATAGTTAAGAAGGGAAGGTACATGATATGGGTGAACAGCCTTTTTGCATAGACGTCAAATCTACATTACTGATTTAAAAAGTGCATTTTAAGTCTTTAAATCAGTACCTCGTGATACGTAACATTATTGGCGTGTAACTGACAACAACCTGACAAAATGGATACAAACATATGTGTACCTTTTTATGAATGATTTCAAAATCGCCAAATACTCACAGTCAAAATAACACCGATATCTTAAATTATAAAGATACATTGAATTAAGTTTTCATATCAACAAAAGCTGGACGTAAAAATCGTGAGAAGTATCGAATATTCAATCTCAATTTACAATGTCATTATGAAAAAAAAAAAAAAAAAGCTAACACAGAGGGAAACATACAGAATTGAGGCTAACATTCACAAAAGAATACCGGTACTGTTTTAATCGGCTCTTCTGTATATGCGTGTTCAAATTACTCGCGATTGATTATGTATTGTGATATGTTGCAATTCATTCTTCAAGATGCCTTAAGCAACTGTCAATGTCCTTTCTTCTTCATCCGGTTGCTTCACACAGTGTTTCATCTTATCTCAAATAAAGACAGATAACCAATTAATCTCTTGAAGATCGTGTTCTGTACTTATGAAGCCATAGCAACGATCCTCACTTTATACACAGACGTCACGACATGGCAACACAAGAATTACGCGACTCTTTAAGATTATGAATGTTTTATGGAATGCTCGGAATTAATGAACCAATACCCTTCTGACAGAATATAAGGACTGGAGATTCCTTATCATGGCACTCTATCGCCGTACACTTCGTAAAGGGCAAGATGGACAATACAATGGAGTAGTTACAATCTAAACAATCTAAACTGGATACCATCAATCCAAATAGACGAACAAATATCCATTGACATTTCTGACTGGTCGAAAACCATAAACAAATTGCTATATCTAAACAAAAGCCAGCGATGACCTTAGTGTACTTTTCATAGTTATCCCATCTAGAATTGATGAGGACATTCAATGTAGCCTGTGACAAAGCGAAGTAGGATAAACCTCATGCATAATACGAGATGTTATAGAAACAGATGACCTGTCACTGTCTTATGCTATTAGAGCAGAGGTTATTTTGGAAACCAATTTTGGAAAATAAATCAATAACATTTCCTAAAATTAATTTTGAATCTATACTAGCACAAACGGTAGAGAACAGAGACCAAGCCCTTTATTGTCGGGAATCATATTTTCGAATGGAGCTTATCACACATGTTCAAATTACATTTTTGTAAATAGGATTGTTGTTACATTACTGATTCACGTTGATTTTAATAATTCAAAACCTGAAGTAGATTAAAATTTACAAACGAATTTAGTAATATCTTCTTCACAAACAATTTCATCTCTGCTTCCAGGCTAACCAATCAACTCTATAATACATCGTGTACCATGTTCCAGCTTTAAATCCTAAAAGTTCAACATGACATTTTAAAATTGCGATTCCGCTGTTCCAATTTCCGTAAAAAATATGTGTAATTTCTCATGTTATGTTATTGTTAGGCTGCTTTATTCCGCCCACAATAAACTAAAATCTCATATGGCATTAGCACAATCCTACCTACACAAGATAGCTTTCTATAGATTAGCAGTATCTGCCTACGCTAGTCGTGCTTCATTTAGATGCTCGCCTAGCTGTCCATGTTGCTCGCCTAGCTGTTCATAATGCTCGGAGAGGTTCCATAGAACTGCAACAGGCACTTCACCCATCGTAATTTTAAGGAATAGTAGTTTTGATCTAAAAATGACATAGGGTCCATGATATACATATATGAATAAGGGGTCTGAATGTACTTTTCTCCTTTACGAATAATTAAATGTGATGCTAATGGTGCTTACTACTGAATGAGGAAACATCCATGTTTTACATGCATATCTCAATTTCTCTCCAAAAGTGACTTTTGAAATTGAAATTCATGTTTATTGTGGTCCTAGTGGAAACGTCGCCGGACTGTGAACCGCAGAGTACGGGGTTCGAATCCCTGCTACACTACATCCAGGTGAGGTCAATGGGGACAAGGCAGGAATTATATCCTCGAGTTCTAGAACGCCATAATAAGAGCCATGTGGAGCGCCAGAAATGTCAAGTTTAACAGACATGAGCGCTAAACAAGAACTTATTATCATTATTATCGTTATTATTAATAATGTTTTTAGAATTAACGCACCTTCAGACTAAATTGATTTAGAAAGTTTCCTTAGCGATCGAAAATGTTCGTTTTTGAGCGACGGTAAGTTCTATAATATACTAACAATCTGCAGCTCAATAACTCTAACATTCTGTCAATTCCAACCTAATTAACTTGTTCGTCTCTCTCATAGTGAACACCTTTAGGTGTAAGTACACTTTTCATTACTGTTGTATATGTGACATTTCTGATTGTGTGGTTGCCATGTTTGGCGCGCTTTCTGTTGGGAGGAAAGGCAGTTAGCAGGTGGTTTTGGCGGGAAATGCCCTGGAGTGAAAGATACACCTCGAGGGCGGGGGAAAGGTTGAAAAGGCATTGGAGGCTGTATTTGAACAACAAGTTCTCATATTGGGATGGTATGGCGGTCTTGCATCCTACCTTCTGAATTTTTTGGATAAGTTTTCAAAGCTTGAAAGCAGTGAGCCTTGCTCATTGGCCCCCTATTAAAGGAAATAATGTAGCTCAAAAATCTATACATGGCTGGAAGATGTAGCGCATATATAAAGTCGAAATGAGGATCGATGTATAATATTACTTCGCATAGACTAGCATGAGAAAATAATTCTAAAACATCTGCCTTGGAGTTAATTGTCTTCACAAGTATCTCCTTTCATCACTCTTTAAAAAAAAAGACTATTAAGTGATATCGTAAGAAATTATATTAGATGCCTTAAGTTAGACGAAAACATCAACACTTGTTATGAATTTCACACATACTGTCGGACTTTTAAAAAAGTTATGTTATTCCTCCTTTGTCAAGAATGATGAAAAAGGAAAATGGAGATATATTCACGAGACGAAGTCATGTTATGAGCGTTGCAGCTCGTTCTAAACTCGGTTGCTTTGATATTACTCTGCGGGGCAACATTATTGAGACGTACTTTGACTTCCTTGTAAATTTTTGATTAAATGTCACATGCCCGTCAGCTTATAACTTTTCTTTATATTTCATGTTGTGGATTATGGAAATAATTTGGAAGCATGTTATCATAATTCCCAGCCCCCATGTTTAACATCTAGTTAGTAGAAGGCAGGCCTAGGATGCATTATACCGAGCGGCAGTTTTAAAAGGAGTTATTAAATCGCCTGGTTTGCCCTCCTCGCTTCCTCTCCAACCTGTGTTTATCATTGCACTTTGAGGACCCAAGAGAACGCCGAATTAAGGTGAAACCAAGACCGCAGAATAAACCAACAGATGCGTCGACACGGCTGTGCCATGCATGCATTAGGCCATGATTACAACTAGGATATTCATCAGGTCCCGTTCCGTTTGATGTGGGCACACTTAAAGCCACCATAGATGTGATTTGAGAGCCGTCGTAATCGGAGCCGACTCCCTAATGAAAGAGGATAAGAATGGAACTCAGCGAGGGACGTCATCAAAATGTCCGTTGATTAATTTTGGTGAAATTTTCTGATTCGTCAGCAGCCAGATGTTTTGTATATGGCTAACCATATGACATTAAAAGCTTGAGAAACAGAGTCGCCATCCCCCGCCCCCATGACAAGAGATATAGTCACGTGATATTACATTCTTCATGTGCTTCATTCAAACTCATCCCCGAAGGCGCGTCACTAGATGTGGATCTCCATCCCCTCGGGCACTCAACATTTGTGTTTTAATTTCCCTGGCCAAAAAACAAGATGCTAACCACAATTTTACCTTCTTTTTTTTTTGCTCAAGGGGGTAGGATGTTGAGAAAAAAATAATTATTTTCCCAAATAACTTTATCCATTTTGTTTCACTCAATGAGATGATAACCTTAAACAAGGGATACGAATGAATTCAAGATTGTAATCATCATATCGAAGAGAATATCATAAATGTTGCTTGTAATAGTAATTTCCTTGAGTTTCAGTTGATATCAACTGCCTAATAGTCAATGTAAATAAATGAGCAATTATTTTGGAATGAGATAACACACATACAATGGCTTTTGACTCACATTCATTGCTCCAGCCCAAACTTGGTACGAAAGGATTTTGACAATCCTTTTTGTAAAGCCTGCTGTTTAGTTACCCTTGGCAGCAAAATTTATTCAAATGGTATCATTAGACAGGGTATTACTTCTTCTTTACCATATAATATGATTCAATGTCACACAGGTCATAGTCTTTTAATTAGAATCTACCAAAGTTGGGTGCATTTTTTTGTATACGCAGTTTATTGATCGCAAGTGTGACTCGGCTATTACATGGCAACAGAGTCTTAATCTAAGGCTTGGAAGTTTTTACAAGAAAAGACACATTAAAATACTATTACTACTATTAATAATAATACTACTGTATATCGAATGCTGATAATTGGGCTAAAAGCAATAAAACTGATTTTGTCTCTATGTTTATGGCCTCTTTCAAAGAGAATATTGAACGAGCACAGTGCACAAACATGCGCATAATCAAATTTTGTTCATTTAAACAAAGACAAAAATGAAAATGAAACCTATGACGGCAGGCTTTCATTTTCGGCTTGATGCATCAATCAAATTAAGAAAGATGACGAATAGAAAGAGAAATCATTGAAGAAGAACAAGCCGGTGAAATATTTCAGGTCTAAAAATCACAATTCATTGCATTTGAGCTAACATGGCGTGAAGTTTGATGTAACCTTGGAGACTACTTATTGAATGACGAGAAAAAATGGAGCGTTTATAAGTGGATGCTTATTTGGATTCACGGA